CCTCAGAGCCTGCAGTGCTGCTGTGCAGCTCCAGCAGCACTGGGGAGCCCCACCTGTGGCTGGGGGAGAGGGCACAGCTTTGCAAGGGGAAAAACACAAAACAAGCACATACACAACTGCTCTCTGCACCACAGGCAGTGATTTCCATCTGCTCCAATAAAGTGTTCTCCTCAAAACAAGCCCTGCAGGGAAGCTGGGACCAGTCCTAGAGAATATTCTCACAGAGAAGATTAATCTTACCAAAGAGAACCCTATTTCAGAATAAACAAAAAGTTTGTTTCTTGAGCTCTGCATATCACAAAAGCCATCACTGTTACTTCACAAACACACACACAACACAAATGCATCATGAATACATCCAATATAAATACAGATGGCTAGACACTCAAACTGTTTCTCTAAAGTAAACCAAAATAAAAAGAACTTTCACTTTGTTGAGTTTTTCTCAACATATGAAAAAATGTGACTAAGTTCAAATAAGCTTCAAAGAAGAAAATAAATTATGAGCACTGCTGAAAGGTCATACAAAAGTGGGGCTGCAACAAACACCAAGTTACTGCACTGAAACCATCAAAGCTGGTATTTAACAGAACAAGCTGTAGACTAATTCAGAATACTTCTGGAGCTCAGTTTTAGGCTTTATCTTTCTCCTAAAATACTTTTTGGAACAACAAAATTATTTACACAATAAGGACTGTGGCTTTGCTGATGCTGGGCTCATTGCTGTGGCATCTGGTCCCTCAGCCTGGCTCTCCAGAGCTGAACTGGAAGCCTCTCACATCCATAGTACTTTCCAAGCAAAGGAAAGCTGGAAATGCTCAGAGGCCAGAAAAAGTGGAGTAAAATTCTTTAATTTGTATGGCTGGATTGTATTCTCTTCAGCTGGAGAATTCAGAAAATAAGTGAATGAACATTTATACTCTCCCTCCTTTTCTGACAATCATCATATTACTAGTTATATTAATCTAACTGTACTGGCAATTAATTTTACTGCCTAATTAAATAAATTTCAATCTGCAGCTTACATGATGTGAAAACAATATTAAATAATGATTTATTGACCAAAGGCAGGTTAATTTTCATCTATTTCACCTAATTTTTGCACTACAAGGATAACACCTAGAGATAATTGAAGCAGGATGCTTCATATGCATTTTCACAAATCTGTCTGCAACACTATTCTCTTCCTCTCCTGACATATAAGGGGATTTAGTTCCCCTTCTCTCAGTACTGCTGAAAAATATTTTCATTAGGCACCTCCTATCTTTCATTAAGATTATTCCCTTGTGTAGGTATGTTTAGAGGGGGAGAAAGAAGAAACTATATTGGTAGTATCTATTTTCTGTTGAGAAGATGCTTTAAATCAGCTTCTGTCATTTTATCAGCTATTCTAAAATAAAGATCAATTCTACTTAAATATAAACATTATAATTCATCCAAAGTGTCAAATATGAACTTGTAGGTTAATTCTGACAGCATTTCAGAGTTCTGAGGTGATTTAGTTAATTCACTGCAATAAATGCTTTTTGATCTATGGGACTCCTAATTCCTAAGAGGATAATTTATTTTACACTTGAAAACACAAAAACTTCTCACTTCATCTAAAGACCAAGTTCCACTGTACGAATGCATCACACTTTTGTATTTCCCAAGTGACCCTCACGTCACAAAGAGTACTGCTGCTTCCAGAGACTCTGGTAATGCCTTTGAAAAGGTGCTGGAAGCAAATGGATGTCAAATGAATTTTTCACAGCAATAAAGAGGGTTCTTTTAACTGATACCACAGGCTTGCTACCAGCAGCTCGTCTGAACACATTGTGATCACGGCGCGCTCAGCTCTGCCGCGGCTCCACGGCCTGACTGCAATCCAGCACCACGAGTGTCACACAGAAGTGTCCCCAGGTGGTTGGCAGTGTTAAATGGCAGATTAGAGACAGCACAACTAATTTCTTTACTTTAATCTTATTAAGAGAACAACAGCTGTCAACTGTCACCATTTCTGCACAAGGCCGCCGAGACAAGCGAGGGGCTGCGAACGGCAGAGCCACAACTTTATTCACCCACACCTTCAACTGGCTGGCATGGAAAACCCAATGCACTTCCCACCCTCTTCTTCCCTTCTGGAGGAAAATAACTGCTCTGAACTGCAAAGGTGTTATCTCCAGAGATGCCAGAGGCAGCTGAAGGGCTGGAGCAGGAGGCTCTGCAAAGCAGGTGGTTCTTGATTACGGCTGTTGCTCTAAACTTTGTATCACAGCCACAAATCAGCTTTCAGCTCTGGCCCCTGCACGTTCACTCCAGCCCACGGCCAGGCTGCCCTCGGATGCAAAGCTTTCCTCCAGAGTAAATCCAATTATAAAAACCTCCTTATGGTACACAAGCTTGGAGCCAAAAAAGAAATCTGTCTTTAAACTAGACAAAAATACGCATCTGCATGTTATGTTTATTTTACATGAATATGAAGGAGGAGGACAGGAGGATTCATTTTAATAAAGCTAGATCTCAACAGTTTATATGTCTGCACATGATTATTTTTTAATGTTAGCTCATCTTCATTTCCTCTATTTGCCTGATATAAACAAGTTGACAAACATTTAACTTTTATTAAAAATACTGAGGCATTAACAATATGCAACCATGGAAAACTAACCCATGATAGTGCACCAGGATACAGAGGAAACAACTCAACTTATGCTTTACAAAACCCAGGGCATTATCAACATACAACAATTTACCTGTTTCAAGTGTAAAGCTCTTCCCTATTCTTACAACTTCTGATGTTACAAATGAACATATTTTGATTATCAATGAATAACCCTAAAAGCTCAGTTTGACAGTGCAATAATACAACACTAAACACTATCAAATTTAGGATGTGTTGATCCAGTAGAAAACTGCTCATTTTTAACCAGTTTGAATGTTATGCAGGAGTCTGATGGGGAAGGGAATCGTTATTGAAAATTACCTGCTGAGTTGCAATGAATTGGGAAGTGAAATATTACCGAAAAATGGTGCACAGAATGGCTGTAGAGTGAAATGGGTAAGGAACCATCAAGGTAAGAATATGGACTGAAACAACAATAAAACTTCATGAACAGCAACACTACAGCTTAAAAAGTGTATGTTCCTAAGCACAAGTAAAAATTACACAGAACAAGGTATAAAACCAGCTCTTAGCTTAAAATAATTCTTAGTGAAAAATGTCATTCGTATCAATGCTATCCAAAATATTATGGGGACACAAATTTCTTCTTTTTATGTATGTAATTATGGTTTGAGCTTTTTTACCCTGATAATATTTGCTTTAAATAAATGATGCAAGAAAGTGTATGAAAATAGAAGATATATGAAACTTGACTTCAATCCCATCTTAACTTGTAAAGGTCCAACATTGTTTCTTACACAATTACTGCCAATTTCTCTTTTAAAATACTCATCACTCAAGGAAGTCAAAGCATTTCCCAAATGCTAATTAAACAAACCCTACAAGCCTCATTTGTTAGCAGGTTTGTTACCAACATGTCATGGTAAATGAGCTGCACACTGCAAGGCAACCCAGGGGAGGAGACTCATCTCCTGCTCCTCATCTGAAGGCATTCAGTTGTTTTGCTGTGCAGCTCCCATTTGGTTTCTGTACAAGAAGAATATCATAGGGCTCCAAAATCTTTACAAATTCTGCTGACTGTGTCTTGTTTTGTGGAGAAGTGGACAAATCCTGGAACACTACAAAATGCTGCTTTGAGAAATAATATGGCTGGACATTAATCTTTATGTTAACACCAAAAATAAAACTTACTATAACCCACTGTTTTCTCTTTCCCTTTTCCAGTGATTTATTTGAAGGGGAGGAAAATTGCCCCAACACCAAATGTATCATCTGTCTCATAAATGTCATGTCCTCCTCACAGCACTTCCCATCCTGCTGCTCTGACTACTGAGCTGGACAGTGGTACAAAACAACAGGCATATTGTTAAATCTTCTGATAATAAAGCTTTATCTTGTAGACATGGGATTAAAGTTCTGAGCTGCACCATACAGCCAGGATTTTGGGGAAAGAGAGATGTAGATAATAGCCCATGTAATCTCCTCACCTACTTGTAAATAGCTTATCCTCATCACAAAGCAACGGACAAATTCCCAATTTAAGATGAGTGCAAATGGTTAAACATTGCAAGAACCCACAAACAATCTGAAGTACAGCAGTGTCCTTTAGCAAAGCATATTTGGTTGGGGGAAGACTGGAGGGCAATTCATGAAAGGTCTTCATTCAACTTCTCTCCACAGGGCTTTGCTTTGTCTTTAAAGAGAGAAAATTGCCAGAGAAAACTGCTCCCTTACTAGATTCAAAGTTCAAGAAATCAGGATGCAAATGACATTTGCACAAAAGAAAGAAAAGTAACTTCAAATTTGTTTCAACATTAAATGAGAAATGTGATCTGAATTTTCTTCCTCGTTTAAAGAATGAAACATATTCGGTGATTGCCCTTTGTTTTGAACCTCCCTTGAACACTCTGCATGTGAAAAATTTCTTCAATCCTTTCAGTGAGACCCCAGCAATACCTGTGAATATGGTTTGTGCCTGGTTCAAACTGCTCATAGCAAGTCTCACCCCCTGGAACTATTGCTGTTCTCAACAGTTGAGGTGCAGATTGCACAGAACAGTCTTCCCCACCCAAAAGGCCACAGAAATACCAAGAGAGGAGCCTCTGCATCCCATGCAGCAAGACCAAGATCCCTGGGCCATTTCCAGCTGACTCCAGACTCCCTAAGCCAGACTCTCACAGACCAAGCCTGCAAGAGCAGTTTGCTTTAGAGAGCAGGATCCTGTGTCAAATGATGTGCAAGCTGATGGATAACTTCCCAACTTCCATACTTTCAGGTGCCTACAAACTGGAAACTGCAATTTGCTGTGAAGTTGAATGAAATGCTGTATTTCAGGAGTGGAGCAAAGCTCTTCAGAATATGTTTTTAACACACAATGCTGTCAGAACAGTTTATATGAATCTCTTTTCTGCCCCCATACTTCCTTCAGAAATACAGCTAGTGGAAAATCTGTCTTAATAAAACAATGTTTAGAGAATTTTTCAAAGATGCAAAAACTCTTTTTATAATTCAGTCATGAACAGGCTCAGGAATCTGAGTGATCACTGGTTTGTGAAAGGGCTGTGAGATAGACAGTGACTGTCAGAGAAAGGAGAACCTCTGATTGACTGTAAGGATGTGATTTCTGTTACACAAATGTGGCTGACATGGGGCTTTATGTATCAGCACACAAGTACATCCTCAAAATGCCTCACAAACCTCAAACACAATGTTTTCAGCAATGTAAACACAATGTTCTCAAACCTTCTCAACAAAGTTTACCAAAACAAGACTATTCTTAAAAGGAAAGAACAAAAATCAAAGTTGTGTGAGTTGTGCACATTCTAAGAATTTAAAGCTCAATTTAAACTAGGCTTTATGTGGGCTTACAGTGCAATCCTATCCCTAATGAAGTTTACCCCACATTGATGAGATCACTCAAAATTAGAGACTCTGCACATGAAGAAGCCCCAGGGCTGCCTGTGAGCTGCTCCCCATGGGCCCAGCTCAGCATTGCACACCAGAGGAGCTGGCTGGACCTGCAACAAGTGCATTTGGTACGACTGCAAAGGCAGGGATTTTATTTATTCTCTTAGAAGTGCAAAGTCAAGATACCTAAAAATGTTTTTTCCTTAGTGGTCTTTCCTAGCACTTGACACTTATGTATGTCCCATAATGCATTATCGGCCAGTTTTCATCCAAACTCTCAAACTACATTACAGCAGTGCCTAAATTACAATTACACCAATATTACAAAATATCTACAAACAAACTATGACAATGGTACACACCAGGATATCCTGGGTCTGCACTAAGACCATGCCCAGCTGTGCTCTGAAAGCACCTATGTGCTCTTGACTGTATAAAAGCTACAGTTAGAGATTAGGGAAAAGAGCATGCTTTTGAGGTACCAGGCTTTGCAGGAATTCTGTATAGTCACCACCTTCTTTTTTAGGGATTAGGCATTTAAAGCCTTCCATTCTTCTGTTCTGTAAAGAGGAATTTCTCTAATCCACAAGAATTTTGATTTACCTGTTTGTAGGCGCCCTTTCAGCTAGCAGTATCTTGCAACTATTTAATTTTGAAAGCAGACAGATTCCTGTGAATTACAACCCTTAAAAAAATTCCCCTGCTTCCCACTAGAGATCTCTGCAGACTAACTTCAAAAGACATGGATCTCCTCCTCTGTTAAAACACAGTTTTGTCTTTTCTCTTTTTACACAATTAGCTGCTGCTCAAATATATCACAGCTCAAACTAAAACCACCAAGTTAGGAAAGCAGAGGCTGAGTGGAAATGGCTTTCCCCTTCCATGGCACAGAGAACAGCACAGTTTTCTGCTCTAAAGTCCCACCCAGGATTAGGAGAAGAAGAAGCAGTGAAGCAGCAGATATGAAATGAATATTCCAGTGACTCTAAGTGCAGGTGAAAGACCCATCAAACTCACTTAAAGGGAACCCTGGCAGCTGCATTCAGGTTGGTGGGAGAAGTCACCATCTGAAGAACATTTTCCAGAGCAGTCAGTCCTCCTGCAGCCCGGAATGCAATTTTATCTGCTGTGTTCTGGAGAAACACAAACACAGAAGAGAACCAACAGAAATTAAAGAAATGTTTACATAAAGGGTACATCTGACACTGGTGGATTCTGTCAAAGTAGAAAGTCCTTAATACATTCATTTATCATATTGGACACCTTTGAAAAAGAGTATTTCACTGCCCACGTACAAGAAAGAGACTTTCTGGAGCAGGAATTGAAACTCTCAGGTGTTATGTTCTCAATTATCACATATAGATACCCAGCACTACACAGGTAATACACTTGAATACCACATTTTGTGTAAGGACATTGAATTAGAGGGACTTTATTAAAGTTCACCTTTATCTGTTGCTATTACCTTTGGAGCTATGCTGCTTTGTATGATTTTAAAAATACAGACAATCTCCAGATGGGTAATTCCTCCTTTTTACTAACTTTTCCAACAGAAGACAACCTCCAGTCTTGGTTTATGAATATGCACAAAACAGCTTAGGCAGACCCCTTTTCTGAGGTATCCACTTGGAACTTGCACATACCAGAATTTTACACTTAATTCCCACCCTATCATTATTGTCACAGTTTGCAAATGACTGGGGTTTTGCTGCAGCAGATCCAGTATTTTAGAACTTACAAAATTGGTTTAGTGTCCTCTGTTTACAATAAAGCAAGTAAAATCTTCTTATTCACTACTTCTAAGCTGCTAATTTTGTAGTTTTTTGGCAGTTTGTATTTGATCATTCTGATTTTGTCAGATGATGATCTACTAGTTAATAAGAAAGAATTTTTTTCCCCCAGTGTTGCAAGCACTTCACATATAGAGAAAAAATGGGAAATCCTCTATGAACATGATTATTACTAGTTTATAAAGAATGTATTCTTCTGTAAAAGACTGCATAACCGTCTGTTAAAAAACCCTAATAACTCTGACAATAAAATATTTATTTGAACAACTACAAAAATAATTAAGCAGCTGTAATATGATTTAGATGGGCAACATTTTCCCCTGTGAGATTAGATACCGCACACAGAAGTACATATCTTACCTTTTATTTAAATCATGTAACTTTCTCTCCATTAAATTTCTGTCAAGCAAACAGCTACATTGTATTTCATTTACAAGCTACAGAAAAGCTATTCACAGAAGGCAGATATTCAAAAGGGAAGCATTTTTCCACAATTAATATGAACTGCACTTAGATTTTTAAACAACCAAAAGATTTATCTTCCAAGCAATACCTGGCCTCCAATGAGTGGAAATCTGTGTGCCAACTCACCAAGCATTTAAGAAAATCAACCAGTGATTTCCTACTGGCTAGCTGATAAGTATAACTTCTAGCAGTTAATTTTAGCCCAGTGAGCCCAATAAGTGTGGCTTAACTGCAGAGCTATTTTTGAGTTTCACTTATATATTCTTCCTCTGTTTCCTTTTCCTCCCATCTAAAAAAATCCCAAGCCCCTGCCTCCTTAAGCTCCCTTGGCTCCCAATAACACTTTCCACCAACTCCTGGTAGAGCCATAAAGAAAAGACCCAAACAGCAAAGGACCAGTCCTGCCATAAATCATCCTTATTGACTTCATGTGAGCACCTTGGCTCACAGCCACAGCTCCCAGAGCTCCTCCTGCCCTGCTCCCCCAGGGCTCACAGCCCAGACACAGCCCAGGGCTTTCTAACCCTCCCTGCTCCCTTCAGCCGCCACCCGCGGGTGTCAGGGATGCTGCTGTGTGCACAGTGCCTCTCCCTGGGATGGCAGAGCCCGGCAGGGCAGAGCAGAGCACACAGGGAGCTCAGAGGGGGCTGTGCAGCACAGCAGCCAGGGCTCTGACACTGCTCGTTTATCTGTCACTGCTCCTCCAGCTCCAAATGTGCCCGGCACTTGCCACTTCTCACTTTCCCTATTTCTCATGGGATATTATGCCACAACCTATTAGCTCTTGAGGCAAGAAGTCTTTCCTGTCATTCAGACCAAATATGCCCTTTCTCTATTTCATCCCATTACTCTGAGTTATATCCAATTTATTGCATTCATTTTGTTTGTCCCCTCAGCAACTGCTCCATTCTTGAGCTCGTACCCTGCTTCCTTTTCCTACTTGGCTTGTTTCTCAACTCCATGTTCTCTTTAATGCTAAACTTCTTCTATTTTTTCATGTGAACTTTTCTTACCTGTGATTTTTTTTCCCAGAACTCTTCTCCAAAAGTGCCCAGTAATGAAGTGTCCAGAAAGGAACTTGCCCCTATCCCAGATCAGTCACTAGAGCCACTCTGAAAGAAGCAACAATGTCTCCCTATTCTGAAGGGAGGTTTTCACATCTCTATTCTAAAAATATATAAATCTTTTGAAGCTGTTTCATTTCCTATGTGTTCTCCTTCCATTTCAACCTGGAGCATCACTTGTTTTATAGACAGACTTTTTTCAGAGTGCCTGGTTCACTTTTGTCTAATACTTTACTAAAATAAAAATCTATTTGTCAAAATACTAATTTGCCTTTTAAAAACATCTGTTACTACTACAGTTTTCTACCAAGCAGAAGGGAGTCTGTAATTTCTTCTGATTTTATATGATTTAGCTACATGTTCTATCCCTCCTCTTTCTAGATTACTCATAAAAATTCATTAGCATTTTGATGCTTATGAATGGAAATAAATTCCTAATGATGTGCATGGAAGAGAGGGAGAAGTTTCAGTAAAAGGAAGACACAACCAGCAGCAAAGCTGGGTTAGATCCCTGAGTGCTGTATTTGTTACCTGTGCTCACAGAGGTCTGTAAAACTGCTGAGCAGATTGAGCATCATTTGAGTATGAAAACTGATAGATCCTACAGGGAATAAATTTTAAATCCCTATTTGAAAAGAGCATAAACCAACATTGCATGGTTTTGCTGCTGGAAAGGAGCCTTCAAACTTCTAACTTGGCCTCCCAAATGATTTAGCTCTCCTGTTTATGAAACCTGTTTCATAATTTCACTGTTCTTTGAGTAGCTGCACATTTAGATTGGAGGGTTACTCTGCAATTGATACTGTGTGATTCATGTTCCTTGAACAAGAGAAAATATACAAACATGTTTTTATAAATTGTTTTTAAAGTGTGTAAAAATTTGATTTGCTACATGTATTTTCAGAAATACACAACTATTCAAATAACATTTATAAGCAATTTGATTTTTAAACACAATAGGATTTCTGTGCTCTGAAGTTACCTGGTGACACAGGAGAGCAGAGACAAATGAACAAGTGGGCAAAAATGATTATTACTCTCATCTCTGCATTTTTTAACAGAGATGAGGAGACACAAAAACCTTGGGGAGGCTACCTAGATGTGTCTTAAACATTAGGAAAATAAAAACAGAGCTGCAGCTCCTGAGAGCAGCAGACACAGCACTCAAACCCAAGCCATGAAAAGAGCCTGTTTTCCTTAACCCTCCCAAGTCCATCGTTGGGAACTGCAGTGGTCATGTTTGCACAGGAGGAAAGCCAACCCAGCTGATGTGACAGGAAGCATGTATTTAATCTCTGGACCATTATAAACTTGTCATTTGAAGCCCACAGCCACTAATTTAGGCAGAACACTGCATGAATCAAGTAACTCAGTGGGAAGTGTGTGTACACTAATGCATGTGGCACAGTAAACAGAAACCGTGATAAATTAGACAAACCATGTAAACATTTTGTGGATTAATTATGAATTAAACATACTTAAAAATGTAAAATTAATCCTTAAAAAAGGACAAACAATCAAGACAGCTCCCTGCACAGTGGGCAAGCATGGCTGACTTATTTACCTACCTGTTACAACACCTTAATGGATCTGAATTTGCCTTCTCTCCTATGGCTTGAGTGACAACTGACTAATAGGATTACAGGCTCTGTTCCAATAATACAGCTCAGCTACATGCCAGCAAAAAATGACAGCCTAAACCTGAATTACATGGCCTGGGAATCCATCCAATTATTAACTAAAGTAACTGTTATTACCTAACCTAATCAAAGGAGAAGCAGCTGTTAATCTTTGGTGGCCTGCAGTGTAGTAGCGGTCAGACTGGATGGACTGTCTTTGTACTTGACTCCTCTACAGACAATAATTATGTCCTTTGTGATCAAGAAGGAAGGGCTTCCTAACCTTTCAGACAGAGGCAGCAGATGGGGAACAACTGTTTGTGTGTTCATTAACAAGATAGGCTAGATTTTATCAGGGTTTGGCATCTGGGGCACCCTCGGAAGCACCACTTACCCGAGGACACAAGTATGTTTGGCAAATTCGAAAATGAGCAGACTAAATAGGAAGTTCAATATAAAGTTTTCATCTCATTATCTGACATTTGGTACAGAAAAATACACACAGCTCAAAAAGAGTGATTTACACATATGCCCCATCCTATCCAACAAAGAAACACAAGAAAAGGCCAACTGGCCTGTGCTGGTACTTGGCTGGCTTTTGTTGCACTCATTAAAGCAGTCACACCATGTGAACCGTGTGCTTCAGAAATGAAACCAAACTGGGGGAAAATGCTGCTCCATTTATACAAGGCAGTGGGTAACACCAAGTAACACAAGGGAAATAAAGCCAGCACTGCTTTGCAACAGCTCTTGGGTTGTGTGTTCAATATTCCAGGAGAGAAGGGAGAGCAAAGCCTGCCCTGCACAGGGCACTGGCAAACCACAGCACTTGTAGAGCAGCACAGGTCAGGAAATCTGTCTGCAAAGGAAATCTGTGTCACCAGAAGCACAATACAAGTGCCACTTGGTTTATGCTGGGAAAAGTAAAAAAATGCTGGGATAACATTGTGGAAGGACCTGAATGGGAAGATATCTGATAATACACAGGAACAACCAATATTTGGAAGCTGAAACTGAATGAATTCAGGTGAGAATAAAATGGGGGTTTTTAATGCCAGGAGTAATTAATGATGAGCATAATATACTTAGCATATATAGTCGACTCTCAATCATTTAAAGTTTTTAAATCAAACCTGATTATCTTCTAGAAAAATATGATCCCAGTTAAATCATAATTTATTAATTTGGTGCAAGA